CATCAGGAAAAAAAAATGTGTTTCTACCTTATTCCGTTCTTCCTGGACTTGCGTCTCACCGGCGACATGTTCTCTCATAGAACCGTTACCTTTTTCTTATTTGCCTACAGTCTATGCTCATCTCCCATCAAAAGTGGCACTGCCCCCTAGAGGGTCAATTTGTTACTACATACTCTGTCTAGAAGCCCATATTTACGGACAAGCTTTAGCAGATCGTCCCCCAGACACTCTCGCTGAAAAACATAAAAGACGTCTATAGGCGTCTTTGGCAGCCAATGAGTTAAAATCCCATTGATTTTAATAAATCAAAGAATGTTTAGTCTTTACATTATAACGCCAACTTCTCCTTGTTAAATAAATGGATGGGATTCGAACTGGATCGGAGCGGTTGGGACCAGACCTCATGGTGGGAATTGTTGGGTTTCTGTAGTTAACTTCAGAGTAGGGTCTGACCTGCTCTGTTTGGAAAGCTGTGAGATAACTGTTGTTGTGATGTGGCGCTATATAAATAAAATTTAATTGAAACTACTCTGCATCGTATTATTTCTGTCAAAACCTCTACCATCATCATTAGTATTAATATCACTGCCATTTTTCATCTAGTCTATGTGTTGCTGTGTTGTCTCTCTCTCTCTCTCTCTCTCTCTCTCTCTTAACAATGAACAGAATATTGATTGTGTAAAACTTTTTAAGAGTATGGTGAGAGCAAGAGTGATGTTAGAATATAGATATTATTTAAAAATGGATGAACTGAATATTTTTCGGAATATTTGGGATTATGAAGGTGTTTTATTTACTGTAAATGATTCTGAACTGTCATTTATGGAAGTGCTAATTTGATGTTGCGTTGAATGTTCCTATGTTTCACAACTGAGTGAATAAATGAGTTTAAAAAAAATAAAATAAAATAAAATAAAATCTCTCTCTCTCTCTCTCTCTCTCTCTCTCTTAACAATGAACAGAATATTGATTGTTTAAAACTTTTTAAGAGTATGGTGAGAGCAAGAGGGATGTTAGAATATAGATATTATTTAAAAATGGATGAACTGAATATTCTTCAGAATATTTGGGATTATGAAGGTGTTTTATTTACTGTAAATGATTCTGAACTGTCATTTATGAAGGTGCTAATTTGATGTTGCGTTGAATGTTCCTATGTTTCACCACTGAGTGAATAAATGAGTTTTTAGAAAAATCAAAAAATCACTCACTCACTCACTCACTCACTCACTCACTCACTCACTCACTCACTCACGGTGGGAATTGTTGGGTTTCTGTAGTTAACTTCAGAGTAGGTCTGACCTGCTCTGTTTGGAAAGCTGTGAGACAACTATAGAAATAAAATTGAATTGAATTGAATTGAATAATGCTCTCTGCGTGTGAGATAAATGGATGGGATTCAGCCTATCGTTCGGCCTGGACCAGAGCAGATAAAATTGATCTGAATTGAATTGAATTGAATAACGCCCTCTGCTCCTTGTGAGATTAATGGATGGGATTCAAACTGTTTCAGAGCTGTTGGGACCAGACCTGGGCCTTGTGGCTGAGCTGCTGGTTGATGGCG